CTAGGAGCTGGAACCAACTTCCAAGGGAAGTGGTGCTGGCCCCTACCCTGGGGGTCTTTAAGAAGAGGCTGGATGCCTACCTGGCTGGACTCATTTGAGTCCCGTTTCTTGTTTTGGGGTTTTGTTGTTCTCCTGCCCTGGCGGGGGGTCGGGCTAGAAGATCTACTAGGTCTCTTCCGACCCTTAATCTATGAAACTATGAATAAACTTTAAAGCCTTTTAATTTTGCTTAGAGAGGAGCATAGAGTGTGAGAATATACCAGAGCTTGAATCAGTGTAGATTTTTTATATGCTAAGTTAATCAGAAGAGCTGCAAGGACATGATTGCAATGCACAGCAAATTGATCCATTCAGTCAATTCTAGTGGGACAAAGGGGACTGCTTCAGTGTAGCTACTTTAATGGGACTATGTTAGTGCAAAATGCCATTGGGAAGATTCCCAAGGGAAACTCCCAACCCCTCCGCATTGTGCAGGAGAGACAGTGGGCTGTGGCCACAAAAAGCAGAGCTCTCCTAGTGCACAGCAGCAGGGAGATGTACTGAAGCTGCTGTAAGTAGTTCCTGTACCAGCTGCCATTCTTATACCCTGACCTACCATTCATGCACTCCTGACACATGAGGCACACTGAAGAAGGAACAGGGGCTTATACAGAAATTCATTTAGAACTAAAGGCTACTAGTGTTACTTACAGCAGCTGATTAATCTGTGATGCTGCAAGCCAGGTAAGCTTCCACACATGTAGACACACTGTGCTTGTGTACTAAATGATCTGCATTACTAGTAACACTAGTCCAAGAACTGAGAGGCAGCCCGAGCATAGCCATGTGGTTTCCTGACACCACTCTTATTTCACTCACCTCTCAATGGATTTGTGAATTCGCCTCCACTGGGGGTAGTGCACTTCCTGTTCAAAGCCACCTCCTTTGGCTCTGGCCTGCTGAGCCACGTTCAGTGAACGGGTATCGATAATGTACCCACGCTTCCCTGCCCGCAGTGTGGCATTAATAAGTTTTTCATCTTCCTTACACCGGCGCCCATTCGTGCCTGTGAGAGGCTGGCTACTCCGCATCATCACCTAGGACAGAAATGGGAGAACTGGATGTGGGGAAGGGGGACAGCCATCTAGTTCACCAGTGGAGAACGCTCTAGTCCACTACTGCTTTGCTTAGCTAATTCTACACATTCCTAATAATAAGGATGCTGCTTTCCTTTATAATTGACATCATGGCAATGAAGTTACCTACTTCCCCTGAACTTCAAATGGATACTCTTCGAAACTGCACCGCGCACCATGCTCTTATACTACATTTCCATGAATCTGGATCAGCCAAGCTCGGATGTCCCCTCTCCAGTGCATTTCCCGCTTCCACCTCCTCTTCCAGTATTTGCCTTCAAGTTCCACCCCACAATCTGGAGGCACAAGGGACAAACATACTGATCCAAAGAGTCTGGCATCTGGAAAAAGCCTTCCCATTGCTCTAGCCATCTTCCAACTACAGCTGAAAATACTGCTTTTCTCCCTTGCCTATGATTAGAAATTCTGATTCCTGTCCATCCTGCTACTGCCCTTTTGCTTCACCATTAGGTTAAATTATTTCTAGTTTGTTTCTAAAGCCAACCCGGAGGTTGCTTTAATAACAAACATCCTCATATTAGGCCTCCCTCTCGCCTCTTCTTTATTCACAAATCTCCATCTTTGCATCCTCTAACTCCAAATCCCTGCTTCATCTAAATCAGTGGTTAAATCTATACCCAATGCTACCTTTAAAACACATTTTAGTTCATTGTGTTATAAAGTCATGCATCACGTTCTTCAGTGATTAGACTAATAAATCACAGCTGCCTCCTTGTGTTGATATAAGGCCTTCATTGAAGATAGGAGTTTACAGATCATAAACCTATTATATGTAGCTAGTCTGAGCAATACATGAAAGAGGCAGCTTTGTGTGCCCAATGAGAGCATTCAATGTCACTAGATTTGGGCAAGGTTTAGCCATATGTGATGGAAGACATAAGTCAGAAGTTCAAGGACTCTGCCTTGAATGCTAATATACTTCTATTTTTTTTTCAAGCATGTATATTCCAAGGATTAACAGCAATCTCTAATCCATTTTCAAGCAGACAAGAACATGGATGCACCAAACAGAAAGTGAACAGTGTAAGCTACTTATCGCCACCCTTAAGATTACTGATGGATTTCACATGTGGGCAAATTGCTACGTCAGACCAAGCTATCAGTTCATATGATCCAACACATGGCTCCAGCAGTGCTCATAAAGGATGCTTTAGCAGTGGATACAGGGAAACAATCAGTGAGGACTCGCATGAAACACTGCCTACAGGAAACATTCCTTAACAGCAGGCAGTTAGTGGCTGGTTCAGTTGCCAATATCCAGTAGATTTTGACAGCTTAAACATGGAAAAGTGCACGTGAGGGAGAGGATTTAGGATTTGGGACAAGCTTGTGGCAGAGACTGCTCTGCTTCTTCAGAGAACAGGTACAAGAGATGCAGTGTTCTGCGAGTGCCTCAGTCATGACTGAGATGGACCATGTCCAAAGGATAAAGCAGTGCCTGCAGCCAGCGAGCAATATCCAATTAATCACTTCTCAGTTGCCAGCCTAGTGTAGGCTTCCTTTGCCAGTACCCAGAGCTTCACCTAGCCTCCCCTGATTTAAACAAATTACTACCTAAATGGCAAATGCAAGGCATTATACCTTGGGAAGAATAATAAAAAAATACTAAGTGGGAGGCACCCTGATGGAAGAGGATCTGGGAGTCTTGGTGGATCACAGACTTGATATGAATCCGCAGTGTGATGTACCAGCACAAAGTGACTGTGCTTTGGGGATACATTAATACAGAGGTGTCAAACTTATCCAGATGAGGGGCACTGGGACAGCTTGAGAGAGTCAGTTTGGGACCATGCAGAGCTAGCACCTGTGGCCAGTCCAGCCCCAATGTCACATGCAGCATATTCTGGCCCCACATCAGGGCTTGCACTGGATGTGGTGTGCGGGCTGAACCCAGAGCCCTGGGTGCTACATACGGGACCCAGAATGCAGGCTGCATGTAGCACCCAGAATAGAGCACAGTGCCACATACAGCATGCACCCTGACCCGAATCCCTGGGCTGCATGCAACGTGTGGCCCAGGGTCCAGGCCATGCATAAGTCCGGTTCCACATCTGGCAAACAGGGTCAATCTAAGCCCCTTGGGTTGGATCCAGCCTGTGGACCTCCCGTTTCACACTCCTGCATTAATAGAAGTAGACACAAGAGGTGATAGTGCCTCCCTGCTTAGCAACTTTCAGGCCTCATCTAGAGTGATGTGCGCAGTTTCGGTCTCCACATTTTAAAAAGGACGTGGAGAAGTTAGAGAGGGTCCAGAGGCAGATAACAAAAGTGATAAAGGGCTTGGAAGGCAAGTCATACGAGGAGAGACTGAAGGAGCTAGGTATGTTCAGCTTGTGGAAAAGGTGCTGAAGAGGGGACATGACAGCAGTCTTCAAATATGTGAAGGGCTGCCATAAAAAAGGAAAATGACTTCTCTCTCTTGCTGCAGAGAGGAGGATGCAGACCAATGGCTTGAAGTGGCTGCAAAGTAGGATTAGACTGGATAACACTTAGACAGTGAAGCAGTGGCACAGACTGCTCAGGGCAAGAGGAAATCTCCATTGCTACAGGTGTTCAAGAAGAGGTTGGAAAAGCATTGGTCAATAATGATCTAGGAGTAGCTATGCCTGTGTTCTACTATGGCTATTTCTCACGCTTCTGAGCTTTGCTGACTGCCACATGAGGCCAGGAAGGATTTTTTGTCCCTTCCTGCTGCTACATACATTGGGGGAGGGAAGAATGAGGTGGGGGGGGATTTTTCACCGGGTGTTGACTGAAGACAAAGCTGGGGATTTTGACTGGGGCATGCCAATGCTTCTGCTGGGAGATTCCTGACCAGAGGGTCTTGCCGCTCTGCTCCAGATCACACTGATCACCATACTTGGGGTCAGGAAGGAATTTTACCCCACGGTGAAATTCATAGGGACTTTGTGGGGCTTTGTCTTCCCCTAGTGGAGGTGTGTGGCCCTCTTCTTTGGATCTCAAGTATTTAACAACTCTGACAGCAGCAAGACACTGACCTCCTTTTCCCCCCTCTAACTTTACCTGTGGCAAGTTAAGGTGCTATGTCTTTTGGTCATGTCAGGGCTGACTCTGTAGTTTTGCTAAGAGGTTAGACTATGGATTTGTACAGGATGGTTTCAATAGGAATGCTCCAGCATCACGCAGGGGGCTGGATTAGATGAGGTCTGAAGGTCCCTTCCAAAAATACTTTTCTATGATTTCAATGGTGAGCTCAAAATAAGGTGGAAGATGATGGTGAGCTAACACCTTAACAGCTGTATTAAAAGCCTATAGCACAGGCTCTTTTTCATTAGAACAGGGCAGGAGAAGTCTGAACACATCTTTACACTTCTGCCTAATCCAACCTGCAAACCCCTCAAGTTTCACTTACCATCCCATTCTTCTTATGGTAATAGCTGAGAACTGGGAAGCGACCACCATGACGAAATGTTGCGACTTTCCGAAGGGCTTCGTCATCAATGGATTTCGGGACGATGACGATGGGCGGGTAAGAGGGGCAGACAGAGAACTCCTTATTGACGTAGCTCAGTTGCCAGTCGCTAGTCTGTGGAGACAGGCAACAACAGTTTGCTGTGAACAAAACGTTCTAGATCCTGAAGGAAAGGTCAGCAAATGGGAAATTCTAGATTCAAGTTCAAACTATCCAGCATATTCTGTATGCTTCCAGCGGGTGTTTTAGAAAGATAACTCAGACAGGAACAGAGCAATTTCATCACCATTACCCCATCTGCATATCAGAGATATTTTTCCTGCACAAACATCCCAAGAAGGAAAGCCAGTGGGGTCAAACTGAGGGGCATAGCTTCTAATCACACTGTCTTATCAACCTCTGTAGAGCGCAGTACAATGACCCACCAATGCAGTCTTCTCCAATTCACCCAAAGGGGAACCCTCTGGGGCAGAAACTTACTCCTCAGTGTTAGACAGGTTTACATGAAAGGAGCTGGTTAGACTTCTACATACGCCAGTAACACCAAGAACAGGATCAACTGTTGTCCCCATCTCAGAGCACTGAAGACAAGACCAGCAATCCAAGATCCACCTAATGCTGAAAGACTGAATCGTATCGATGTTAACGCAGTTGCTTAGCGTTTCTAGTGCTGCTTGCATGTTCAGCAGTAACCTACGTGCCCTGATGAACCCATAAGCCAGCGAAATGATACACGCAGCATTTACCAGAACCCTCCCCGTACCTGGGCACTCTCAGTGCCTCAGTCCCATGACTCCTGGAAGCCAGTATACATGAAAGAACCTGCTGAGTGCTGAGACCCAAATGAGTTGGCCCAGGAGGAGCGAGGCATCCCTTTATGAGTTCTCTGACAGAACTGGCCACACCAAAACTACTGGAGAGGAAGGATCAGACACGGCAGCTGACAGATTTCCAGACATCAAGCATTAGAGTTCATGGCCTAAAGCACTCGCTCACTGGGGTCCGTACCGGAGGTGAGCTAGAATTCAAACTGCAGCCATACAAAAGTCCAAGGCAGAGGCCTGCTGGCTAGGACCTTTGACCAGTTTGATGGCTGCTTTTGGACCAAGGCTACATTCAGTGCCTGATGAATCAGTTCTTACTGGAGGCCAGGACAAGGAGAAGAACTTTCTGATGAGGAAGTTCTTGTTTTTCCATCTCTAAATGACAGATCCCCTTCTCCTCACCCTGAGAAGGAAGTGAAAATCATTCTACAAAAGCCAGAAACCTCGAGCTATTATTGCTCTGTGGGTTGTACATTTGAGGGTGGGAATTCCATGACTGGCTCTATGTAAAGTTTAGCAGGGCTGTGAGAGAAACTGCAAAAAGTCCCCCCGAGCAAGAAGCTATTTTCACTGTAGTGGAACTAGAGAAGGCACATCATTATCCAAACCAGACTAAGACCAAAAGACTGACTGAATGCAGACATAAGCCCTGATGGATGAATGAAAGCTCACGTGAACTGGCCTAGCAGCTGCCTGGACTAGAACAACAGTGTCTAGCCTTCATGCAAAGCAGCAGCCTGACACATATGCAAAAGGCTCCAGGCAAGAAGCAGCTCCTGAAGAGGAAAGTCCCTGCAGTTGCCTGGGCCTGCTTAGCTGCTGCTCCTGCTTTGCTGTGCACAGTGTGCGCTTCAGTCTTGGTGTGAAACAGTCAAGGTCCTTCTAACTTAAAATGCAGCTCCTATTTCTAACAACATGGTACGTTACTCGATAGAGCAGTGGTTCTCAAACTTCTCAGAGTCAAGGCCTTATCCAGGGCACTAGTGAAGCACTAGAACAGGCTACCGAGAGAGGTGGTAGAGTCTCCATCCTTGGAAGTTTTTAAGATCCAGCTCCACAAAGCCTTGGCTGGGATGATATAGGTGGGGCTGGTCCTGCTTTAAGCAGGGGATTGGACTAGATGTGACCTCCTGAGGTCCCTTCCCACCCTCATCTTCCATGATTCTATTTTTGAATGGGGCAGCACCCCCAGTTGAGAACCACGGTTGATGCTGCCTCAGTTTACCTGAGTGCTGCTCAGCCAGGTGTTGCTGCTTCCAGGTAAAACTGCCCTGTATGCCTGCTGCATACAGGGATGGCTGTGGCACATGCACGTGCTCTTCCTGCATTATGGCTCTCTGATAACCCTAATGCAGGACAGGAGAGCTGGTTCAGGTTCTCTCTCTTTCCTGATGAAGTCCTGCCCCTCCACACCTCCTGGAAAGAGGTGCGAGGCAGGACTCTCCTGCATGCCTCTGGCTTCAGGAGGACAGTGGGGAGGGCTAGACTAGGAAGGCCTACAGCTTGAGCCAGCTCTGCTGTTCTGCTTTAGGGTTACCAGGGAGCCCTAATGCAGCAAGAGTACATGTATGCTGTAGCCCAGCACACAAGGCAGCTATATCTGGCTGCTGCCGTGGTAGCAGCACCTGTATCATGGCATCCATGATGTGGGGGGGGGGGGTAGTCCTCACAGCACCCCAGCTGAGAACCACTGCAATAGCGCCTAAAAATGTGCGTCTTCCCAAAAAAGGTGAGCTGTGCTAGAACCTCAACACATTACTAGAAAATCTGGGCACAGCTATTGCATCGCTTGTATCTGACAACTGAACACGCTGCCAGCACCTTTCAGCACACTGCCTAGATGGACATCCACTAACGCTGCCACGTCTTTAGTCATTCTTTTCAGGCAGGGTTGTACAGTTGGCATGACCTGACAGCTCCAGGTGAACCCAGGCATGGGTGAAGTAAAATGATCAAGACTTAGTAGGCTGCATCGGCTGTTTCCTTGTAAAGGCAGAGACATTCAATAGAATTTGATTTTTTTTTTTTTTTTTTTGTTTCAGCAGCCCATTTTGTTTTCAAATGTCCCCAGCAATGGTATTTCCCCAGCATCCACATGGGAGGTCGTGCCACACCACAACAGATCTCACTGCTAGGCTGTATGTGCAAAGTTTGTGTTCAACTCACCAATGTGTGGCAGGGAGCCACCGATATCTCACTACCCCAAGCAGATGGCTTTCAGGATGAACCTGGATACACAACCTGTCGGCTGGGATAACTTACACCAGTATATAGTTACTTCCGATTTCCCAAGGGAGAACTTTACCTTGGAGTAGAATGACCTTGCAGTGGTGTAGGACTGTACACTACGTGCCCACTCCGCATTTAGACTGGATATAGGTAGGTTACAGCAAGCATTAATGTACTGATACCCCACACCCATGGCAAATAAACTAGTTGCATCTCCAGAGAGAAAATTCAAATGCACTTTTCAGGGCACAGGCTGCCAGGAAACGACTGGTGTAAAGAGAAGAAGAAACAGATTGCCTTGATTTATCTCCACCCCTGCCTTCCTGCTCCTCACTGTATGTAACATGAGGCAGATGGTATTGTCATACCCATCGAGTTATAATATGTCATGGCACTGAAAGGAAGCAAACTGCAGCAATTAGTATCATGTGTCTTCTGGAGCTCACCTAACACTGGGAGAGGTCCAGTAAACTACTTCACTGTCAAAGGATGGCAAAACAGCAGTGTCACTATCTTTTGCTCTCTTTTTTTTAGGGATGTAACATACACCAAACCAGCAGCAATCGATCATTACTAGTTGTCAGAGTGTGTAAGCCAAGGTTAAACAATGTGCAGCAGCAGACTCGGTTTGAGAAATGAGGCAAGTATAGAAAAGGTCTGCGTGAAGTTAGACCTTATTAAGATCTTCCAGGCCAGTATGTTAATGAAACAATAGAACTGGATGGAATTCAGAGAGGACAATACACTGCCATTACTAGTCCCTACTCTCATAAAACAGAAATAATGCAATTTGCAAAGAGAGCAGAAAATAGAAGTGATTCAACTTGAGAAATGTGAATGCAGAGACCTGGCTGAAACTATAAATAATGTCATCAAAAGGACGGTTTCAAAGCTGCTTTAGAATGGACTCTTTTTTTTAAATATAATTTTCATTTTTCTACAGAAAAAACCGAGACGAAGTGATGCTCAAGAGGATACTGGAAAACCAACCAGCCACAATTTCCAATTCATAAAAACAGCCATTTTTGAGAAAAGACGTTTTTGGGGGGGCAGAAGAAGAAAAAACCCAGCTCTGACCTGTGCTAAGAAACGCACAGTTAAACCACTCGGGCAACCCTAACTCTGCTGTGCAGTGACAAATGTGAAAGGGAGAATAAAAATAATCCACTATGTCAGAAGATCAATGTCATCTCATCTGGGACTACAAAAAGCATTAATCAGAATCACACTGTTATTGCACATCATCTGTATAGGGCCTTAACTGTGCATTTCTTACCTTAATACATCTGAATTTCTTTTCAAACTAATCTTTTCTCTGAGCTGCCTAAATCGCTAACGCTTGGTGACAACAGCCTTGTACGTTTTGAAGACTTTTGAGAAAAACAACTGCACCTTGCAGGATTTTTGTTGTTGTTGCTGTAGTCTGGAAATACTGTTTTGAATATAAACCCTAAAATAATATGCAATCTTTGTATGGAGATTGTAGTTATACTCAGTAGCTCAGCTGGGTACAAAGTAGTTAAACGTCACACATTTTTTTTTTTTTTTTTTTTTGCAACAGGCAAGAATATCTTTTTTTGGACCAACTGCACGGTTGGGAAACACTGGTTGGGAAAAAGGTTTTTTTTTTAATTTTAATACAAATCATCCCTTTAGCATCTGACAGAAGTAGGCTGTTGCCTATGAAACCCTGCACCTTTCCGAACAAGTTAGTCTTTAAGATGCCATCCTGCCTTGCCTTCTGCCTTAGCAAACATAGGATAGGAATTATTCATTTACTTCTAAAGTATTTATAAAATTTAATAAATTATTTAGACACGCTGTTCATTTCTCCATATGCACTAGATGGTTAATGTTTGCTTATAGAATTCCTATGTGCATCCCATGCTATATGGGCATGTTTGTCTCGGTACCATTTTCATCCTGTGTTAATAATAATAATAATATTATTATTATTATTATTATTATTATTATTATTATTATTATTATTATTATTATTATTATTATTATTATTATTATTATTATTATTATTATTATTATTATTATTATTATTATTATTATTATTATTATTATTATTATTATTATTATTATTATTATTATTATTATTATTATTATTATTATTATTATTATTATTATTATTATTATTATTATTATTATTATTATTATTATTATTATTATTATTATTATTATTATTATTATTATTATTATTATTATTATTATTATTATTATTATTATTATTATTATTATTATTATTATTATTATTATTATTATTATTATTATTATTATTATTATTATTATTATTATTATTATTATTATTATTATTATTATTATTATTATTATTATTATTATTATTATTATTATTATTATTATTATTATTATTATTATTATTATTATTATTATTATTATTATTATTATTATTATTATTATTATTATTATTATTATTATTATTATTATTATTATTATTAATACAATGTTCAGGGATGAGTTCTATTCCTTTCCTACAGTGCACGAATGAAGACATCGAACCTGCAGTTCCACTGACTTAGTTCCATAATTGAGCTGTTGTAACTGCTGATGCAATAGATTTATCACAATAGCCACGCATGGCAGAGATTCATGACAAGAATGCTGCTGCCAGGCCTTGTAGATGATCCCTACTGAGCAGGGATCATTACTGAACACAGTAAATGCTATCAGCAGATGACAGCAGACCAACAGTTGTATACTGCCTCCAACTTCTCTAAAGCAAATGAAATCATTTGCCTTAACAGATCCTTCTATAACATCCAAAGGGATTAAAAAGCAAGAATGTGTAGCAATGTGGCACGACTATGCAACGTTCAAGAGCCTTGAGCTAGACTGTTGAAATGCGATTGCTTCAAATGTACTATCAAATTATACCACCAATGCCAAACAAGACCTTCTGTCAATCGGTTTTACAGGTGGAAAGTTGGGCACAGGACGGGTGCTCTGGGAACTCGACAAAACCCAAGTGACAAACGAAAAGTGCAAAGTGCACTGGCATGCGTTTTATTTCACCTCGGCACTGCACAGCTCGAAGGTTCCCATGCAGAATTGAGCCAAGGGTAAAATTAGTGCAATACCAAGACCTGTGATGTGGGTGAATTAGAGGTGCTGATAAACAGTCTGATATTAAGGAAATGAGGGACGCAGGTAGAACAATTCTACTCTGACTATTTAAATATGAAGGAGGCATCCTCCTATTTGATCCAAAACTCATTCAAGCCTCAAAATTGTTCAAGCAGCCATTAACTTGCTCCCTCCTATTTAAATAATGAAATCAAATGAACAGGAAATATCCAAGCAACAGTAATTTAACTGCTATTCTAGGAAAGTATATCTACGCTTTTTAAATGAGCCTTGTGCTGCCATTCCTATAAAAGAAAAGAAATGGAGTCTAGAGGTTTGTAATAAAAGCCTGGGATCAATTGACATCTCTTAAATGTTCCCATTGCCATGGATCAATATTTCCAAATGAAGCCTAGCATTATACATCAGTCAGTTCTGTAAAACTAAGCTTTCCAGATGTTAGATGCCCAGAAAGCCAAAAGATAAGTTATCTGAACTCTTTTTATCTGAGCACTATTCTTCTTTTTGTATTTGAAGGGAAATACAAAGTGAAGCATGCTGGAAGCAGAAGGGCTCTTTAGAGGTGAAGACAATAGTAGGAGGTCTTTGGTTTTATCACTTGTTTAGCCTCCGATATCTAAAGGGAAAGACTGCTGTTGAAATTTCACTTTCCACATCTTTTGAAGTAGAATCTTTTTTCTGATCTCACTCCTCCAGGCTTTTGCAAGGCACCCACTACCTCTACCTACACTACAATGCACTCTCACATACCCCTTTTCTCAGACAACACAGCACTTTCACCACTCACCATGCGATTCCTATCAAAGTGTCTCAAAATCTCCCCTGCTGAGCTAAAGGCATGTCTACAACTTTGACCTCAAACAGAAAGGTACTCTTGTTACATGCGCTGTATCACTGAAAATAGATCAAAATAGGAATACTGGTCCTACGTAAAGAGGTTGCTTGCTATGGCTTTAGGCAGAAGATGAAGCAAAGGCAGTGAGATCACTATAATCCTAGAACAAAGAAAGAAAGGTCTTCCATTTCCAAACACATTTAATTTTCTAAACGATCGTATCAACTAGCCTTGGCAAACAACAAAGAGTTTAGTTATTAGCCCATATACGGGAAACAGCAAATGTTTCAGACATTAGACTCAACTACAGCTTAAAGAAATCAATGCTATTTTTTGTTCTGAAGATGTACTAATGGATGTGGTATATGGAGTCTGAAACAACGTTATGGCTGTGCATACATATTGCAGCTCTGAAAGCTGGAATATTCTGGGCTGGCAGCTATTCAACTGTACCTGCATTGACACTGGTGGGAGCTGTACTGCAGATCAAGCTCCTGTTGCTGGACCCTTTACTGCTTCATGGATTAAACTTGCTGAATGACCTAATCAACATAGTGGTAAAAACAGATCTGCCCATGAAAGCCTTCTATACACAACAGATACTAGCAACACTAGAAAAGAGATGCTTGAGGAGGGACACAGAGGGTTAACAAAATACTAAGTGGTGAAGAGAGAGTCCATACGGATTTATTACTTACCGTCTTTCATACTACAAGAATTGGGGGTCACAAAATGAAGCTAGTAGGTAGTAAGTGTAAAACTAACAAAAGGAAGTTCTAATTGCATCCTGTATGAAAAAAAAAGTGCGGAACTCATTGCCACCGGATGTTGTGGAAGTAGACGGTTTATCCAGATTCAAAAAGGGACAGACTCATTCTTGGAAGAAAGGTAAATCAGCAGCTATTGAGCCTGGGAGTTAGGGATACAGCCTCCGAATCAGAATCTCCTGGGCCTGAAATGCTGGAGGCTGTATGTGGGACAGGAGCAGGGGGAAAAACCCTGGTCATACCCTGCTCACCTCTTCCTTTCAGCATCCACTCTTTGCCACTGTGTGACACAGGATACTGGGCAAGGTGGACTTAAGAACTGCCATTTCCTGGGACAGACCAAATATACTTATTAATACTGGTGCAACAACCTAGCAGAATAGATGTAGGAACAAGATTCCACCTCCCACATAAATGAGGCTTCAGAAAGTTTAGAACTGTATCCAGCCACTTATCTCTAATTTCCAAGCAGCAGCTGGAGGAAAACGCTCTTTTCAGAGATGTAATTCAAAACACTCTGTCCCCACACCCCCACTGCCCACAAAGGAAAACTCAAGTTTAAACCACAAGCAGCCAGACTTCTTTATACATCATAAGAAAAGGAACATCGTCCTGTCTCCACCCACCTTCACAAGTTACCTTTACATAAATCTCAAGAATCCTCTTGCGTGTGATAAAAGAACGAGGGCCAAGCAGCCAACCACAACTTCCTACAGGCTACTTTTAGTCTATGAACACTAGGTCTGAGCATTTATTTAATACACTCCCATGTTCAATCCATGTGCACTGCAGCTTTCCACTGTGCGACTCTACAAGGGCTGGATGCCAACAAACATCCTCAATATCCAACTTACCACTGAACTGAGCAACTCAAACTCTCGCTCAGGCAGGAAGGAGTGCCAGCCATCCTCCACAACTTCAAACATGGGGCGGTAAAAGAAAGGATACATCAGTGTGACTGAATCCAGAGTGGACAAGGCCTGTGAAAAAAAGATGAAATGCTCTGTTTGCTCATTTGGGGAGATATTTTATGTCCAACACGTCTGTAAGAGGCTCCCTTCTGGCAGTGTTGACAACAATTCTAGCCACTGTTCCTGCTCGTGGTGTGAAGCCACTATCCCATTGCTGCCTATGCATTTTATCCTGTAACTATTAAAGGCAAAATAGAGAACTATCACTGGGGGCAGAAGCAGGGGCCAGAACAGTGGGCATCTTCCCTTCCAATGTAGCGTCCACTTCACTGAGCCACACTTTCTCTAGCTTGCTCTGCTTCTGGCTCCATGTATTTTCCATGTTTAGTTACTATATGGTATAGTTATAACAAAAGGGGGGTCGTGGCAATGGCTAACCTGTGGCCTGGTGGCGAGGATGCTTTTCTGGGAAGTGGGAGATATAAGTACAAATGCACTCTGAAAGAGGGGCTTTAGAAGTTGGGTCTCTCCCTCCCTCAGCAGGTGCCCTTGGCACTGGGCCACTGCCCTAAAACAGAGGTTGGTAATATTTTAGTGTGGAGGAGAAGGGGGCTGCATGTGTGAGCTACCTCAAGCCAGCCCGTGCTGCCACCACAATTGCTGCTCCCCCCTCCAATTCTGCTGCCATGGCTTCTCTCTACCAGGTGGGTGAAGTCGTCCATTGCCAAAGCTCCCTGAAGGCGGCCCATAGAAGAAGTGGCATCCTGTGCTCTCCATAGCCAAGACCTATACTAAAAAGGTGGGAAGGCATCCCTCCATTTTCCATGGCTTATATGGAGTTAAGTGCCTTTCCAAGAAGGAGAAGGATATCCAAAAATCCCTGTAAATGACCTGAAATGCCACTGATGCAGCTAAAATTAGTTGCTTAACTGCTACTCACCCATGTAAAGGTAGAGTCAGTTTGGGCCTACACGGATACTTTGTAGGTTCTCAACCTGTAGTTGCTCTCACAGGTAACAATATTTGCCCAATACCACCCTGGGCTGAAACTAGCAACCCTGGCATGAAGTACTTCAGGTTGTATTACCCATCTGCAGTCACTTCCCAAACTGCCTCAATTCTCACTTTGCTGGTGCTGATTGTATTATGCTGCCATGTAAAAAACAAACAAACAAACAAACAAACAAACAAACAAACTTTTTTTTTTTTTTTTTTTTTTTTTGAGACTCTTTGCAATTTTAACACAAAAAGAGCAAATGCTTTTCATCTGATGCAGCCCTGCCGAGATAGCCCTGCTTGGAAAAAGATAACAACACATAGCTAGAGAATATAAACTAAGCTTCTCTATAATTACCCTTAAAACACACACCGGATAGGAAGTTAATCGCTGTAATTTAAGTGTGGTATAATGTGACAACATTGTAATTTAACTAACACAATGGCGCACACACAGAAGCAGATGAAATGCTCCAAGAGACATCTCCAGAACGCCCACGGTTGCTTTCTGTAGGTGCGTCTAGGTGATGCAACTCCTAGGGACTACATTTGCATAACACTACGGTGTAAGTGGGGAAACAAGAGGCTCATTAAGCAGCACCAGCAAAATAATATTCACCCATGTATACAAAACTACAGCTTGTATGGCCAAATGGAAGTTCGCTGTTTTGCCGTTTAGACAAGCAAGATGAGACTGATCAGCTCCGCTTTGTTCTTATTCTCCGGCACAGTTCTGGCGTGTTTGACTTCTCCCTAAATACTGCAGCAAGTTGCTTGATTAAAAAGTCGAACTACTGTATTTACTCATAGAATCATAGAAAATGAGGGTTGGAAGGGACCTCTGGAGGTCACGTCTAGGCCAACCCCAACTACATCATCCCAGCCAGGACTTGTCCACCCAGGTCTTAAAAACCTCCAGAGATGGAGATTTCACCACCTTTCTGGGTAGCCTGTTCCAGTGCTTTACTACCCTCCTAGTGAAAAAATTCTTCCCACTATCTAACCTCAGCTTCCTGTGCTGCCACTTGAGACCACTGCTCTTTGCTCTGTCATCTGCCACCACTGAAAACAGTCTAGCCCAGGGGTGGCCAAAATATGGCTCATGAGCCAGATCTGGCCTGTGAAGGGACTCTGGCCAGCTTGTGGCTGGTCCCTCAGTCTTGCATGGCCCAGGTGACATCCAGCCTGTGACGTCCCGCTGCCCCCTGGGCAGCCCAGGCAGCAGTGGTGGCTCCTTCCAGCTGCTGCCACCACTGTCCCCATCCCCGTACTGGTAGGGACCTGCGCGCACAGCCCTGACCCCAACCCACCCCCGCCCCAGACTTGG